GAGTGACAGCCAGCCAGGGCTTTCCATCCAGGACCCTTTGCTTCTGAGGGGCCATGTGACATTGGGGTCCTGCGGGAGGCTGCTTGAGTACCGTCCAGCGCATAGATCACCCTCCAAGGGCCCACACCTGTGGTGGTCCCTCCACCTTCCTGCCCTCCTCCTGTCTCCCTCATGCCGTGGCTGTGGTTTCTGCCTCTGGGAATAATGCCGCTGTGGACACCGTGTGGAGTGTGGTGTGGCTGTGTCAGCTGCCCCGCTGTGACCCAACAGGGGTGGTTTAAGGTGCGGGTGAGGGGGCGTGGCGGGAGGTTGACGTTGGCTCGTAGTTTGGGGGGACATTCTGTCGCTGCAGAGAAGTTCTGGCAACTGGTCATGGGGTGCCAGCAGTCAGGGAGGAGAGAGAGATGAATGCTGGGGCTTAGCTCTCTTTCTCTGACTCAGTGGGACCCCAGCCCCCCACATTCATGGTGGTCTTCCCTCCTCAGCTGAACCCCTCGGGACAGTTCTTTATACACACCCTGAGTGTGTCTCTGATTCTAACTTTAGCCATGGTGGCAACGAAGGTGTGTGTTTAAATTCCTCTAAAGCCCTGCTTCCTGCTGAAGGCAAACAGTTGCAGTTGGGCCGTCTTGCAGTCTTTACACAGGAAGTGGGGTCTTTCACCAGATTGGGCAATGAAGACAGAGTCAGAGCTTGCTCCTGGGGGCCAGCTCCATGCCAGCCCAGAGATGACTTGTGCCCGTGTTCCCTGTCACCAGCCTCTGAGGAGGGGGTGAGGATGATCCCAGGGTCTAGACTTAGTCACTGAGGCGGGGCATTCTTGGTGGTGGTTGGGGTGAGAATGAAGGCTGCGTGCTGGCTTGGCCCAGTGACAGCTGTGTCACAAGGCACCCCTTCTGTGTTGCTCCTTCCATGGGTAGCCCTTGTTTGGAAGTATGGCTTCCCTGGGCTCAGGACAGGAGGGTAGTTTCAGGAATGCCACCTGTCTCCCTCAACACTGCTGAGACAATACGTTTCTTCCGAGCATGAGAGCAGCAAGTGTGTTTTCTAGAAATGTCCGGAACACCTCTCTTCTGTGTTCTGGCTCAACTGGGTCACGTCTCACCCCTGAGCAGTGACAGTGACTGTGCGCCAGGAGGATTAGCCCCTCTTGTCAAACCGCATCCCTCCCAGCCCTAAGGCCAGGGCCGCATCAGCTCGAGCGAAGCTGACTGGGTGAAAAGTGTGCCACTTGCCAGGGAAGCAGGGACGTGAGACCAATGGCCTCATCCCATTTTACACGGGGGGGAAATCAAGGCTGTGCCGGCAGCTGGTGGCGGGTGCGGGGTTTGGCTCCTTCCTAGCAGAGGGTATGACCAATGGAGGGGGCCTTGCCGACAGCTCCCAGCACTGGCCAGCAGATGGAAAGGGCTGTGGGGACTGGGGACTCTTGGCACCTGGATTTAAGGGGTCCAGAGAGGCATCAGGGTTTTAGGCCAGGCATTTTTATTCTGCCCTAAAAGCCTTCCAGGGGGGAAGCGCAATTCCTTGGGGCCCGGCTTTAATGGTTCCTTTTATAGACTCACTCACGTTATAGATGGGTGAACTGGGGGGGACCCTGCTCAAGAATGCAGGAGAGCTGGATGATGAAAGCGGGGGGGAGGTAAATTATGGGGGCTGGGGAAGTGTGTTTTCTTAAACATGAACTCTTAAAAACCACACTAGCTCCCAGGACTGAGCCAGGCCTGGAGGCTGGGCTTCCCTGGGTCTGACCTGCCTGAGGACACTAGCTGATGGGACTTCCTGATGGGGAGGGGCCGAGGCCCTCCAGAACCATCGCTTTTGCTGGCCTTGCTTCTGTCAGTGGACTTGGATGTAGCAGCTGGGGTGAAATGTCCTCCCCACCGCTCAGCCTCATCTGGGGTCGGACTTGGTGTCGTGGCTCTCTGAGTTACACGTTTTTTAGGCAGGGCGTTCTGATGTTGTTCTGCCGTGTGTGGTAGGCACTGCCTTCATCGATGTCTCCCAGCTCTGAGGGATCCATCACCAGGTGTCACATTAAATGCTGTTTCCAACGAGCTCATCACTGTGGGCCCATGGGAAGGTGGACGGAGTCATCATACCGTCAGGGCCTTGGGGCAGACAGCCCAGGACCTGCATGTGAGTCACTTTTTCTCAGTGTTGTGACAAGAGCAACTTAGGAAAGCTTTGTTTTGGAGCAAGACTTGATGGTACTATCCATCGCAACATTGGGGGTGTGAGGCTACTGGCGACATTGTACCCACAACCAAGAAGCAGACAGAAATGGACACTCAGCCCCCTTTCCTTTTCATACTCATTCCAGGACCTGGCCCACCCTGGAGATAGGGGCAATACTGCCTACCCTGAGGGTAGGTCCTCCCAGGTCAATTAAGCCAGTCTAGAAACTGCCCCGTACACATAACCGGAGGTTTGTTTCCATTGACAATCAAAATCGGCAGTTACAGCCTGGATGTTCGTGTCCATACTTCTAACTCTGGGTTCTGCATTTCCAGGCTCTCTTGGGGGTGCCTACCTCCTGCTCCCACTTTTCAAGATCCTTCCTAATTAGGAGAGCCTGCACACTCTGCTGCACGTCCTCAATTCTGTGGAAGACAGAGGGAACTTGGGGTTAACCATCATGTTTGTCTAGCCTCCTGGGTTCAGACCCCTAAGACACAGAACTGAGCTCAGCTGTATATCACCGTGGGAGGAGGGGCGTTAAAGTGAGAACTTTGAATCAGAGAGCTTGGGCCTGTCTGCATGTCCTCACACCCCAGGCGAAAGCTTGTCCGGTCATTCACCTAGGTCCTTCTCAGATCAGCTGAGGACCTCAGACTTCCAACATGGCCCTAGCCCTAACCCTTGCTCAACCCTAACCCTAACCCAGACTCTAACTCAACCCTAACCCAACCCTAGCTCTAACTCAACTCTAACCCTAACCAACCATAACCCTAACTGTAAACCCTAGCTCTAACCCTAACCCTAACCCTAACCTAACCCTGCCCCCATCCTAACCCCGCCCCTTGGTTCCAAGAAGGGATTTCACGAAGCATCTGTTACGTTAAACTATACTTTGTCTCCCATAATCCACTTCCCAGCCCCCTGCCTCAGTTTTCCATCTTTGTAAAAAGTCTTCATGGCTTTAGCCAAGGATGTGCCAGTCTCGCGGAACTGTCTTTTCCTTGGCCCTTTTTAACGGTTTCTCAGTAAATTCCTTGAGTTTCCTTCAGAACACACCAGAACCTGCCATTTTCCAGGTCTGAAACTCATTACTGCCTCTGTACATTCCCACTGCAGAAAGCTGGCTGGTGGGTAAATGCTCTCTCTCTCTCTCTCTCTCTCTCTCTCTCTCTCTCTCTCTCTCTCTCTCTCTCTCTCTCTCTCTCTCTCTCTCTCTCCCCCTCCCTCCCTGTGTGTGTGTGTGTGTGTGTGTATGTGTGTATGGTATGTGTATGAGTGTGTGTGTGTGTATGGTGTGAGTGTATGTGTGGTGTGTGTATATATGGTATGTGTATGAGTGTGTGTGGTGTGTGTGTGAATGTGTGTATGGAGTGTGTGTGTATATGGTATGTGTATGAGTGTGTGTGTGTGTATGGTGTGAGTGTATGTGTGGTGTGTGTATATATGGTGTGTGTGTGTGTGTGTGATGCTGGGGTGGAGCTCACAGCCTTGTACACATTACACTCTACGTTGATTTAAATCCCATTCCAAGTCCTCTTCATTCTGTTATTCTGAGGCAAGTCTCTCCGCCTCCCACAGAACTGAACTTTTGATCCTCCTGCCTCAACCTCCAGGGTAGCTGAGACGGCAGGCATGCACCACCAAGCCCCCCCCCATTTCATGTGACTCTTTGCAAACAGAAAGTTGAAATCAGCATCTTCTGGAACGCGAAGCAGGCAGCAGAGGCCACAGTGGGAGGGTGTCTGAGGCGGGCCACACAGGAATCTGACCATTTCTGACCAGGCTCACTTCCGCTGCCTCAGGCTGGTCCCGTGGAACCCTCCTAGGCCATCCAGCTGTATCAGCCTGAGCCCTGGCTTCTGTCCCTCAGCTTGTCCAGTTTCAGGGCCAGCCCAAGGTCATCTTAGAAGTCCCCAGCTCAGTAGCTCTGCTTTCTATAGTCCCGCCCTGTCCCACTCTGGGTATCTGTGACCGAGTTCCACAAGTGTCACAGCTTAACTGTCCCCAGGTAAGGGCAGAAGTCCTATACCCAGCTCTCACAGTCTGTGTGCCTTCCCTGGGTCCAGGAAGGTCCTGTCTGGCCCCTCCATTGCAGACAGCTCCTGGCATCTGCGGTGATGTGTAGCCTCTCATTTTCACGAAGCCCCTGGCCCCTGGCTTGAAACCCTGTCCTGCATGGCCTAGCTGTTTCTCAAGGGCTTACACCTGCCAAGACCTTGTTCAGGCAAAATGCTTGCCACAGCCTGGAGGTGATCGATCTGTGCTTCTAGCCTGCTGTCAGTTGTCACCTTGTGAGCCTGCTCTACACCCCCCCCCGCCCCAGGCTCTCAGTCTCCTGGTTACAGCTTCTGCCCCCCCCGCCCCAGGCTCTCAGTCTCCTGGTTACAGCTTCTGCCCCCCCCCCCAGGCTCTCAGTCTCCTGGTTACAGCTTCCCCTCCAGGTCCTTTATTTCTGCAGGGCCCTCCACTCACAGTGCCCTTTCCCACATTCTTGGGGCTCACTCCTCACTGCCGTCTGGTTTCTCCTCTGGCGGCCTCTCCATTGTCCTCAGGCTTCGGCCCCCATGCCCGCCTCCTTGGCACACGTCAGTTATATTCCCTACTCCTTGAAGCCTGGCCAGACAAGTGACCCACTCTGGCCAACGCAGTGGGAGCTGCACTGAGACCCCCGGCACCCTTAAAACAGCTCCTGGAGTTGCCCAGATAGTCCTGGATAAATGGATAGCAGCGGATGGGGGAGGGGGGAGGTGAAGATGGGGTGGTGCCCTCCCCCACCCCTTCCCTGTCCCCGCACCTCTGTAATGAACGTCCCTCTGCAGGGCAGAGCATCAACCCCAAGTTGGCTGGCCTGATTGGGCGGCACGGGCCCCAGAACAAGCAGCCCTTCATGGTGGCCTTCTTCAAGGCCACAGAGGTCCATCTGCGTAGCATCCGGTCCACTGGGGGCAAGCAGCGCAGCCAGAACCGCTCCAAGACGCCCAAGAACCAAGAGGCACTGAGGATGGCCAGTGTGGCAGGTAGGCCGACGCAGGTCCGAGCAGACACAGGGGACCATATGTGCAAATGTGTCGTGGGTGGTTCCAGAACAGGTCAGTCTGTAAGCTGGGACATGCCTGTCCAGCACGCAGCTTCTCCGGGACTCTGGTGACCTTGAAGCAGGGCAAGGCTAGACACAAGTCAAGCAAAGCCTGCTTGTGAGGGCTCCAAGCTGGCTCAGTCTTCCAGCTCCTGGCCTTGCGATTCTAAGGAAACACCCAGGGGAGTTTGGGCTGTTTAGAACCAAAAAGTGAGGCCACTAGGCCATTGCCTCGCCCCCCCCCCAGCCCCCACCCCTCCATTTCAGGGCACCATGCACTGCACATGGCTTCTCCCTCTTGTCTTGAGATCCATAGTCATTGAATTTCTGAAGGGAGGAGGTAGCCTGCTGTAGTGGTTGGACTTCCTGTTTCCCCCCCAGTACCCTGGGGAGACTTTGGTGGGTAGAGACACAGTCCTCTTTCCGTGGCATCAGAATTTATTATTAATTCAGAGGCTGTGCCAGTTTCGTTGGCTCTGATGCACCAACTACCGCTTTCCCTTGGTAGACACGGGCACTTCCAGTCATAGGTTTTTATTCCAATGTTTAGCAGTAAGTCGGTCTTAACTACTCAGCAATTAATGACTCAGCACGCATTACACATGTGTAGCATGACACGTTAGCACACACACTACAGAGTGGATAAGAAGCTGTTCAGGAAGAGGCAATGCTACCCAGCAAGACTGCCCTAAAAGCTGGAGAGCACAGCCGACTCGCCTGCAGGGAAGGTCTCTACGGGGACGAGATAACAGAGTCTCGGGCTGAGCTCAGGTCTATCCAGAGCAGAGTTGTCGAATGCAGGCCTAGGTGAGCTTTGGTGTTGATTTGCAGAGGGCTGAGGGTGACAGCCAGGCCTTGGGGCTGGAGTCCTTCCCTGTGGCAATTTTCCTGGCCAAGGTTCATGACCAGTGACCAGTACCTGGATCGCTGTGCCCGCATATCTGTGTAGGCTGTTCCTTCAATTCTAGCCCAGATAAGAGAGTTCTGTCTGGTATGATGGGTGGCTCATTAGTCTGATGTTTCGGACATCAGCTATATTCCTAGATGGCATTGTTTATAGACACAAATAAATGACCCGGAAGTCACACTCTGTTGTTGCAGCCGATGGTGCTGTTTTACTTGTATAAATAAGATGCAGAGTCTGTCTGCCTCATCATTCAGGGCAGCGCAGTTGATTTGTAAAACAGGTCAACTGGGGGCGAGGCATAGCCTGCAAACTGCCGTTCTGAGCAGTCACCCAGAGTCACCTACCTGCTCTGCCAGCATCCTGAGCGTGAACAGGGACTTCGTGAGCATGCTCTCCTGTCGGGTAGGGCTGTTATAGGCATCTCAAAGGGGTCTGTGGGCCCCTGATTTAAAAAAGAGTGAGTTCCTTCCTTTTTGGGGGCCTTGTTTTTGCTGGGATTGGGGTTCTGTGGTGGAAGCCTAGATATAGAAACTATTTGGGACAGGTAGAAGTGATTGTCACCCTCATTCGTATGCAGTGTCAGGCCCAGGATTGGGGATGGTGACTGGGTAACTCGCTCATTCCGGGGTGCAGAAAGAGTCCCTATGGGAACTGAGCTGAAGCCTGTGAGCAAGGCCAGGCTGGTCCCACTGGGGAGGCCTGTGCACCCTGGGGTGCTAAGTCTCATGGTTTAGCTTTTCTGACACCTTTGAGACTGGTGGCTGGGACGGAGGAGGCAGCCGGAGCCACGGGTGGGTGGAATTCTCTTGGGAGTCTCATCTTCGAGTTGAAATCCATCCCAAACAGGAGTGGGAGTTTTATGGTTTCAGGCTGTGTGCAGTGTAGGTGTGAGGTCATGCTGGGTGCTCTAGGGAGGGTGGGTGAAGGAGAGTTCCCTTCAGAATCTGAAACTTCCCAGAAGCCTTTGCAAACTCAGCCAGCAAGAAGCTCCTGCCCGTCCCATGCCAGCGAAGGCGACCTTGCCTTGAAGATCTACAAAGTTTGCATCTGGAGTAAGAGGAATGCTGAGGGTTCCGCCCTACGGTGTCCCACAGAATGCCTACTTCCGTAGCTCCAGGACAGGGTCCTCACTCCCTTGAGTGACAGCTAGTCAGTCTGGCCCAGATTCTGCCTACTCCTGTAGATTTCAACTCCCTACTCTTGTTTTAAGTTCTTCCAAACCCTGCCTGGAAGTTTAACATTAAAAAAAACATACCAGGACTGGGGCCCCACCCTGGTTTAGTGAGGCAGCCTGTGCATGTGCGTAGGCGTGTGCCCAGTGCCTTTGAAGTGCTCACACCTCACATGATGGGCCACACAAGTTGAATCCTCTCTAGCACGCACATCATCTTTTAAGTGTCCGGCTGGAGACACATGTCCCAGCATGCCTCTGCTTGAAAGTCTCCTTCCTGTGGGCCACCCCTGCCACTGAGATGCAGGTGGAGAACTTGCAGCCCTTGTCCCCTTCAATCCGGCACCCTGGGAACTGGCCATCTCCTCCAGCTGCCCCTAGGGTGTAGAAGCAAGTCTGAGCACCTTGTCCTCACTTCCTGCTACCTGGGCAGGGCCTTTCAGAGGTGGCTGCGCAGCCACTGGTGGCTGACATTGTGTGCTGTTCACTGGCTCTCTGCTGTACTGGGTTGGGTGCGTGGGACAAGATTGGGGCCCGGGGAGCTAGGTGTCTCCTTTATTCCTTTCCCTTGCTTTTCTGCTAAGAAGGACCTGAGAATGTTAGGGGATTCCAAGCCCCTTCTTCTGGGGGTGGCTACAACCCCAGATAGGACAAGCAAGGGCCCATCCCCCATAGTACGCCCACAGCTAGCTTCCAATGGTAAACCAAAGATCTACGCTGGGATCTGCCCCTTCGCTGCACATGACAGAGTGACAGACACGGCTCATTATCACGGCACCGTTTCTCCTATCTCAGGTCAGCATCCGCCCTGACTGGGAGATGTGGGCGATCTGGCCCCAGCGATTCTACTCAGAACTGTACCTTGCTCAGACTGCTTCACCCTGGGCTGAAGAGATGGTCCACTCCCTCTTTCCTTCCACGGGGAAGAGGGGAATGGGGCTTGTCAGGTGGATAATGCTAGCCGCAGCCCCCCCCCCCCCGGCTTTGCCACAGTGGCCAACGGCACCTTAAATATCTACTCCATAGCTGTTCCAGAGGGTAGACCAGTTGTCCAGCTCTGTGACCTGTGCTCTGATAATGCCCTGGCCCTTGACCTCTGTGTTGAGATAGCCTGGCCTGTTATTTCTTCTTGACCTCAGAGCTGTGCAGGTTGAATTCTTATGCATTCTGAGAACCAGACTCTAAGGGATGTGTCACTTGTCACCAGACACCCTGTGGCCTGTCAGTGGGCTCAGAGGGAGCAATCATCACCTTTGGGTGGTTGTAGGGTGTGTGAGGATGAGAAGTCCCCTGAGCGCTCAGGCACCCGGCCTGCAGGGCTCTATAGTGTAGACCAGGGTCCCAGGCTTTATGGGCAAGGACGGGTGACAGACAAGGTGATGGAAAACCCTGGGATGAGTCAGGTTGGGCAAGGCATTAATTAAGTGCCAACTATTTGTGCAGCTGCAGAGTAGAGGAAGATTCCATAACGTGTGTGTGAGGGACAGACAGACAGAAGATCCCCAGTGTTTACAAAGTGCATTCTCCAGCCCAAATGCTACAAACCACCATCCTTCTAGAAAACCCAAGCACACTGTTCTTGTTCCGTAAAGAAACTCAGTTGATGCTGGGGGCCATGAGCTTTGGTCTCTTCCTGGTGGTGTCCCCAGCATTGATTCTGTGTTCCTTGTATCTGAAGGTGTATGGGCATCTTGGGACTGGCTTGGTGGGCCTCCTCAGAGTGATCTGGAAGCAGGATAGTGAGAGCAGGATGGGGGGGGGGACAGAGATGACCAGAGATGACCATGAAGGCGGCAGATCCTTAGACTGGCATCTGAGCCGTTGCTGTCCTTCAGCCCCTGAGTCCAGTGGCCGACTTCCCCTGCGGAACCACAGGGATTTGAACATGTGTGTGTTTCTCTCTCCTCGCTGGGCTTTCCTCCCTGTCCATGCAGAAAACAGCAGCAGTGACCAGAGGCAAGCCTGCAAGAAACACGAGCTGTACGTCAGCTTCCGAGACCTCGGCTGGCAGGTAAGGATGGTTGGGCTGCCACACACTGGGCTTTCTCTGTCCCTGCCAGCCACAGGGCTGTTTCCATGGGTACAGAGTGTCACAGTTCATGTCTTTTTCCTCTCAGGGACAGGGTCCCCCCTATGTCCCAGACGACCATCAAACTCACTGTGTAGCCTAGATGACCCTGTACTCAGCCTCCTCCTGTATCCACCTCCCAAGTGCTGGGATTGCAGGAGTGTGTCACCATGCCTAGTTTTTGCTGTGCTGGGACAGGGAACCCAGAGTGCCCTGTATGCTAGGCAAGCACTCTACCAGCTCAGTCCCAGGCCAGTCTACAGTTCTTGTCTGCTGGTGAGATGTCCGATGCCACGAGCCCTGACCTGAACATATGAGGACATCCGTGACAGCCCATGACACCAACGGTGTGATTGACTCTGGGGTCAGAGCTTGAAACACCGCGCTTTCTGAGGTGTGAACTTCATTCTTCATGCACAGCCTAGTCCCACCCACCCCTTAGCTGGCTGCTTCTCCCACATATGATCGTGGGTTCAAACCCAGCCCTGGAGGGCCAGCTTCCTCCTCCCTTCCCTCCACGCTGTTCTGTGACTCAGATCGGGTGTTTGTTTCTGAGCCAAGCAAGCAGGCTGCTGTGGCGGAAGTGAGGTTCTGCACATACTGTTTCTCCGGCGTGCTGTGCCGGACACTGCTGTAACAGGAGCTCTCCGCTTCCAGTCCCTAGACTGCACCACCATGCCGGACACTCCTGCAGCATGACAGCACACTTCCAGAGCTCAGAGAATACTCTGCCTGGATGACCCGAGCCACAGAGGGTCACTAGTCTCTTGCTCAAGAAGGCGCGCCAGCAGGGAGGTCTGGTTTAGACTCACAGACATGTCCTGTCTTGACAATGGGACAAAATGTTGTCATTTACAAAGTTCACTCTGAAACCATACATATAAAGAAGGTGCGGGGGGGGGGGGGAATCAAAATGTTTTAACTCTTTACGGTATTTTGTTGGGTTTCATTTGTAGCTGTTATTACCCAGTGGGTACAAGGTCTAGCCTGTGGGATGGACACACCTGGGAACGAGCTAAGGCAACACCACCCCAAGCAGTGGTTCTAGCTGTGGTCTCTGACCTTTACTCACTCCCTGCTGTGGTTGCGCCTCTGGTCCAGGAGACGTAACACAAGGGCGTCCTCTCCAAGCCTCAAGTCGTTTCTCTTTTCCTTCGGCTGGGCTCACAAAATACCATGCTCATTTTCCTGCCCCTGAAGGGACCCCCATAACTCAGAAAAGCATAGCCTGAGCCTGTGTCCCCTAGACGTGAGGAAGGACCCCACACAGGGTAGGACACACAGGGTGGGACACACAGGGGCGGGGCACTACCCTGGGCTCTCTGCAGGGTCTGGTTAGGAGCTGGCCTGACTCTTCCTCCCTTTGCAGGACTGGATCATTGCACCTGAAGGCTATGCTGCCTATTACTGTGAAGGGGAGTGTGCCTTCCCTCTGAACTCCTACATGAACGCCACCAACCACGCCATCGTCCAGACACTGGTAGGTGCCTCCCAGGGTGGGGGGGTGGCCTATTGGGAGTGTGAGTGGTTTCTACTGCCTTTACCCAGAACCTGAGCGGTTGTCTGTCTAGGGGTGTCATGACTCTTATGGGTCCCTGCTGTATAAAAGGAAAGAATGTTTTAGGCGTATAGTGGTATAAAGATGAATTTATGTATACAAATTGGGTGTCAGCATGGCATACTGTGTGATGATTTGTGATCTTCCTGCCTCAGACTCCGAGTAGCTGCAATTTTAGGCCTGCACCCCAAACTGGGCAGCAAGGGATATCTTTATTCTCCCCCTACCCACGTCCTTGAGACAAAGTTTCTTTGTGTAGCCCTTGCTGTCCTGGAACTCACTCTGGACTCGAACTCAGAGACCCACCTGCCTCTGCCTCTCAAGTGCAGAATTAAAGGCATGCGCCACTATCACCCGGCTAGCAAGGGCTATCTTTAAGCACTGGTTTCCAAAACTTCCCCTTCCCCTGGACTGTAAAATCCAAGACTGCATTTGGGATGGAGTCTGCAGCCAGGGATGGAACGAGCCGTCTGGACCTGGTGCTCTGCCGGTGTGGCTTACCTGACCTGCTCCGAGCACCCGGACGGTGCTGTGTCCTGTTGCCTTCAGGGCTCTTCCAGGCACCCTTCACCACGGCCTTGGAGGCCCAGGGACACAGCTGCTTCTGTTAACATTTTACCTCAGGGTCCATGTAAGTGTCCAGTGCTGGAGGGAGGCGGCTTCTGTGGTCACATGGACTAGGGGATAAAACCTTCTCGGGGAATCCTAGTGAGGCACTCCACAGTGGAAATGAGCCAACACACCCAGGACTTTGTTAAACTTATCCAAAGAGGAGCAAGTTGGGAAGGGTAGAGGTGCGTAAGGATTTGGTACTGTCCATCAGAGGAGATGGAAGGAGCCACCTCGGAGGTCACAAGCCTGGAGGCCGTGAGCCGAGAACCGAGCCAGCTGCTGAGATATATTTGTTTGCCATCCCTGGTTGGCTCAGTACCCAGAAGTTGCCCATTAATAACAAACCAGGAGCTGGGGTTGTGGCTCAGGTAGTGGACTGCTTACCTGGAGTGCACAAAGCCCTGGGGTTCAGTCCCTAGCGCTGAATAAGCTGGGTGCGGTGGTTCAGGTCTGTCATTTCAACCCAGCCCTCGGGAGGTGGGAGCCAGAGGATCGTCTTTGGCAAGTTCAAGGTCAGTCCTGGGATAGACGAGCCCCTATCTCAAACCGATAACACATGAGAAGAACTGAACCCCTGGCCGGCCTTAAGCACTGGGTCCACCTAACGGCACGGACTGGCCAGCTGTGCTGGGGTCAGCTTGGATGAGCAGTGGCCTCTCCGTTCAGTTTGCTCTACTCCCCCACTACTCCCTGCTGCCTCCCCTCCAGGTTCACTTTGCTTGTCAAAGGTACTCACATGGTATCTGCACGGCATTTGAGTTTTCCCTTGTCTGAACCCCATGCTCTGTGGGGTGCCCAGGAACCTGTGAGCAAAACAGCCCCGTCTTTATAATCACTGTCACGCTGGGGACTCGAACCCAGGACCTTGTGCGTGCTAGGCAAGCACCCTACCACTGAGCTAAAACCCATCCCTTAAGACAGATGCTTTTTGAATGGGCAGCAGTCAGGGAGGAGGCTCAGTTTGGAGCCCCAGCTGTCTCTCCCGCCTCAGATGTGTGCGGGAGACTGTGCCCGCTGGGTTCCTCGTCGGCATGGTGGAGGTGAGTCGTGAGCCGAGCTGGGTCACGAGACATGCTCACCTGTGCCTTATGGTCGTCTTAGCCAGACAGTAGATGGTTTCTAGAGAACTCTAGAAACCCACAGAGGGCCTCACCGCCTCTCACCGTGGTTTGTGTTGGTGGCTTGCAGGTTCACTTCATCAACCCCGACACGGTGCCTAAGCCTTGCTGCGCGCCCACCCAGCTCAACGCCATATCCGTCCTCTACTTCGACGACAGCTCCAATGTCATCCTGAAGAAGTACAGGAACATGGTGGTCCGGGCCTGTGGCTGCCACTAGCCTCTTCTCCGGGCCACATTGTTCCAGATCTGTGGTGTCTCACCATCTAGTCTCTCAGCTGCCCACCTTGGCGAGGAGCCAACAGACCAGTCACCTTTCCTGAGCCTTCCCCTCACCTCCCCAACCGGAAATACGTAAGGCATTAGAAACCCGAGCGCCCAGTGGCTGGCAAGCGGGCTGTAACTCTGGCACATTATGGACAAGATCTTACAAGCTGCCGCAGGCGACATCTAGCAGGGAAAATATCTTCCAAGAAAGAGTCCATTGGCCACGTGGTCTCTGTGTTGCTCTGAGTCCTTGAGAGGTAATCACAACTGTCCTTCAGCCAGGCCGTCCTGCAGCAGGAGGAAGGGCATAGCCCATAGCCAGGGTGGGCGCTTACGTCTGTGCTAAAGGAAAACCAAGCAGAAGTCCCTGTAATAAAATGTCACAATAAAACCCATGAATGAAAATGGTTAGGATGTTACAGATATATTTTCCTAAACAATTTATCCCCGTTCCTCGGTTTATTCTGACTTCATAAACAGAAGCTGGGGCCCATGGAGGCTGGGGAATCCCCTGCCTCCTTTCCACTTGGTTTCCTTCTGAGGCTGCAGGGCCAAGTGTTTACCCAGACCTGCCCGAATCCACTATGCAGGGAGGGGAAGGAGGGAAGTCTGCTTGGAAGAGGCCAGGGAGTACTGGCCTCAAAGGAAGTATGTTGGGATGGGAAATCAGGGAGGCGCACACACCCACGCACATGTGAAACACGCACGCACACATGCACGCACATGTGAAACACACAGACTTTGGAATGGCTCTGCCAGCCCCTGGGTCCCAATTCCTGCCCCACGCTAGGAAATAATGAGGAGACTCTAAGTGACCAAGCCCAGAGGCAGGACCGAACTGGTACTCCGGGCCTAGGCGAAGCAGCACAGGGGATGCCCAAGGCCCAGGGTGCAGGGGCTTCAGGGCACTGTCCTCTAAGCGAGGCCTCTCTGGCCCAACTCCAGAGCCAGGTCCTGCCCTATTCGACGGCCTCGCCTCACTCTCAGCCCCTAGCAGAAGGCCCTGAACCAAGTGGGTTCCTGGACTTGAGGGAGCCTGGGTACAGGGATGAACTAGACTTAGATGGACTTGAGAGTAATTTCCTAACCACACTTCCTGCCTCAAGCAAGCCCGCCACGCCCGGCTCTGTGGTGTCCGTGCTATCATCTCCGGCTCCTAGCTTCCACTGCAAAGCTGACTGTCTGCTGATGTCTCCTGCATCTACACGAAGAATGGAGTTAGCCAGGTGGGACCCATGACCCTGTAGGACCTGGTCACGCGGGAACCAGTTCTCCATGTCTGTGATCCTGGAAACACTGGGCTCTGATTCTGTTATTATTTTTACTTTTTTCTTCCTCGGTACCTTGGGCTGCAGCCTCCACCAGTGGAGGGAGAGCGGTTCGCCTTGTAATTTGTTTTGTGTGTTGGCAGATCTGGGGCTTTTTGTGTGACTCCCTCTTGGTACACATTTTACTGGTCATGGCCCTAGTCCGCCCGCAGTCAGTGTCTTTTGTACATTTAAATGTGTAAATAATTGTGACAAGACAAAGAAATTATTTATTTCCATCTGAAGTTCTTTTCAAAGGCTCTGTGTGGAGAACAATGGGGTTGCTTTCCTTTCGTCTGTTTGTTTTCTTATTTAAGACTATTTATTAACAGTCGGACCGATGTACCCATAGCTGTCTCACAAAGTGGTCCTTAGTGAAAAGTCTGTATAAATAGAGTAAAGAGGGGTTTGACTTTGCAATAAAAGGAGACATTTGGTTCTGGTTGTCAGATCCATGTGTGTATGTGTGTCTTTCCCCTCGCCCCTGTACTCCTGGACACTGGAGCCTCGTATGCTGAGAACTCTCGACCTTGATCTCTACCATTAACGGGATGTTTATCATCCAGGCCCGGGGGATGGGGGCGCGCATCAATATTTGGTGCAGCTGTGTGGGGCTGCAGGCAAGGAGGGACAGAACCAAACAACAAATGTGAGTTTGGTAGGCTGGATGGCAAAGATCCTTGACTGAATTACAACCCAGCCGTCAGCAGCTGCTTCAAAGAGGTAGGGGGTAAATTAGCTCTGTTTACTGCTAACATAGTCAAGGATTTAGTCATCCCAATAAAACGGAGGTACAAGAGAGAAAAGAGGGGGGTGCATGCCCCAAACTTGAAAGCAGCCCTGGTCTCACAGCTGGCGCCATTCAGTGCCCGTCACCCGGACGGTTGGGGGCTGCCCTTGTAGGCCAGCTGTGGAGGTAGGCGGGCCCACCACAGGCCTGGATAAGGGTGTGGGCCCCGCCAAGCTTGGAGCAGCGCTCATCTGGCTCCATCTGCCTTTGAAGTGTGCACTAAGGTCACCTGATGGATGTTTCTAGAATCCCAGCTGATACTTGGACAGGCTGCTCTGTCTTCCCCTGTTGACTCAGACCCAGCAACCGCTCCTAACACATTCCAGCCCTTGCAATTTCTAAACCCCTGCTGTCACTGTCCTGACAATTTAGCTTTTGTTCTGTTTTCCAGGCTGAAGACCAGAGCCACAAACCGGAGGTCCAGATGTGGCCTTCCAGATGTGCCTCGTCCTCTCTGCCCCACCCTCGGGGGTGTTTACATATTTTTAAAAACACAAATTCATTGCCAGATATGTTTTTGCAAATCAGAAGTTTGGGTTTCTCTCGAGCAGCCAGTGGAACGGGCCACCTGGCTCCTCGGCAGTGCTGTCCCTAGCTGAGCAGAGATGCCAGTGACCCAGTCACCCCCACACTCCCTTGCCTCTCCCACAAAGGGCGAGGTCAGTTGACATTTCAAAAATGGCAGATGAACATGTATTTGTGCCCAAGTCCCAGAAGGCCTAGGAAAATAAAGCAACACTAGGAGATGCGTGAGCTTCAGGACAGCAAGTGGCTTTTATGTTTGCCTTAAGCTAGCCTGTTCCCACGGCCCTTGGCAGGCCCTGTGGCCATGTGTGGTAGACCAGATGTACCTATCTCCTACCCCCTCCCCCCTCTCTTGGCTTCCACCTTTACCAAGTGCTCTTTAATATCGGGACCAACAGGTGACAGACCTTGCTTAAAGCCCTCCAGCTAACCTTTTCTGAAACCCAGGTTCCCCAGAGTTGGGACTTCCTAGGGCTCTTTAGGAAACAGGGAGTATGGACTCCGGCTTTTAGCCCTGGGCCCCCTTTTGAATCCATGCTGAGTCTCTGAACTTCACGCCCAGCCTGGAGGCTCCCTCCCACTTCCAGACTGCTTGAGGGTCTGTGCCTCTGGACATGACCTTGTCCTTGATTCCCCGTGGCTTGCTGTCCTCAGCCAGCAGCTCACCCACTGCAGCCCCTCCCTTCTCCTCCCTGGGCCTGGCGGCCACTGTGGAAGCCAGGAAGGGTGTGGGTGCCATGGCAACCCCTCTGTAGGAGCCTCTCACAGGAACTTTGGGTACCTTCTGGAGGGGTCTCTCACGGGCACGTTGTCCTTCCTTCTGTGGTTTTTTGTGGAAGGTGAGTGTCAGAGTCTCCTGGGGCCCACGCAGCTCACTTCCCTACACACTACTTAACAGCCTGGGCCCCACTACCTTCAGGAGGCCCTCTCTTTAGGAACAGTGCCCACCATATTCAAGGAGGGACCTGTCAGGCAGAGCCCTTGCAAAGCTTCTAGGGAAGCTGCATCTGGAGCCAACACAGAGGCTGCGCAGACATTAAAGTGTCAGCGACAAGCACAATGCACAATTACAGGGCTATGCTGAATCCAGGGCTCCCACCGAGACCCCAGTTAGCTGTCCAGAGTAGTTATTTGTCGCCCCAAAGTCTTCAGAAGGTCATCAGGGCCCAGCTCCTCGATGTGTCTGGGGAGAGCACGGGGTGGCCTGCTCCCGACTGCTGTGTTTGGCAGAGGCCTGCTCAGCACACATAGAGCACTTGGCCTTGAACAAGCTCAGGACAAGCCTGAGAGCTGCATTGCATCCAGGCGTCAGCAGTGGAAACGCACAGGTCCTAGCTGTCACGTGGCTGGTGGTCTTCCCTGGATGGGGCCCTCCACAACCATTCACACACAGAATCAACAAGATGATGCCCCTGTGGGGTACTGCTCACAATGTCGATGGAAAACACCTCCAGGGAGCATGTGCTGACAGCCTTGGCCAGCCTTTGTCTCTTCTAGGACTCAGCATTGTCAGGTCAGTTGGTCCCAACCCACACTTGGGGTGTTGAGTGTCTGCCCCTGCCAGAGACATGCGTGATGACCTCCTCAGACATTTCCGATTGGCCCGGGAGTCCCATTCTCCTGGCTCAGACCCTTCAGCACTCTGGCACTGGCCTCTCTTGGTCCCGGATTTGAGGAAATAAAACTAGAAGGGGAAAACACTCAGCTCTCCAAGGCTGTTTCGACAGCTGCTTAGGCGGAGGCAGGGTGCACCTGGCCAGGAGGGCCATGCTGTCCCCCCACTGCATCAACTCTGGTGCTCCCTGATTCCCACAGTCCTCTGCGTTACCAGGATAAGGCCCTGACTCTGATCAGCTGAGATGACCATGGGGGCTGACTCACACCCAAAATCAGCCACCCAGCTCTACTGGCCCAGCTCAAGTCTGACTCCACCTGCCATCCGGCTCGGGCACAGGCTCCACCCTCCAAAGGGCCCTGGGTATAATTATGCATGTTGCTGTGGCTGGCGTGGATTGGTTAATGTTTGTGGACGAGTGCCCCACATTTTTATTTTGACTGCGGTGCCCACAGATCCTGCGCCCAAGGGATAGAATGGGACATCCATCACATGTCATTCACCAAGGACACTCTTAGAGTCTGTGAGCCTTAGGTGGTGTCCTGGGCATGGCAAGCGGTGACTAGCAGGGAATGAGGCCCTATTTGCAGGTGACAGGACAGAGAGCAATATGCCATCAAGAAAAAGACCAGACACCAGCAGAGCCGCATGGGAGTGTACCCAGGGGTCCTAGAAGGATGAAAGATCTACTCAAGCTAGGGTCTTTGGAGGTGGGTGGGAGGAAGTGGGCGGGGGTCAATGTGAACAACAGAGTGAGGGCAGAGGGTGAGGGTGGATTTTGATGAGGCTGGCTCAACTGTTTAACACGCCCACCCTCTGCTGCCGTAGTGTCCTAAAGAAGGTGTGCAGAGGGCTGCGGTTAAGGGTACTGGGTTCTCTTGCAGAGTCTAAGTCCCAGCACATACGTGGCCACTCACAACTGTTTGTTACTCAAGTTCCATGGCATCTGACACCCTCTTCTGGCCCTGTTGGCCACTGCATACATGTGGTACACAGACATACATGCAAAACACCCAACACGTAAAATAATAATTAGTAACCTATGGATAAGAGGAAGAGGAAGGGGAAGAGGAGGAGGAGGAGGAGGAAGAAGAAGAAGAAGAAGAAGAAGAAGAAGAAGAAGAAGAAGAAGAAGAAGAAGAAGAAGAAGAAGAAGAAGGATTTATGTGCATGTCCCAGTACAATTTCTGATACCCTTGGAATTTCTTGTTAGGAATGACGAGAATGACTCTGTCATTCATGGCAAGCCCTGTCCACCGTACCCGAGTTCATGGTGATTCTTCATGGTGAGTGAACCAATCTTGGAACTTTCGAAATCCATGGACCAAAGGAGCAGGACTGCTGGCCCAGAAGGTCACTGATGGCCCGTGATGTTATTCATTTTGTCACACCTGAAAGCTCTCAGCACATAGCATAGCTGACTAGATGTGTTTGGATAATTAGATGCCATTAATAACAGGCTGGGAGTTAGGAGATGTGGGCGCTGACCCTGCTAGTCACGTGACCTTGGAGGGAGCCTTAGCTCTGGTCTCTGGGCCTTCACCCTCCCGTGTCAAGGCCAGACAACTCGGTGGGATTTTGTCCCGCAACTCTGGTGGTCCTGAGCTGTGTTTCCTGAAGGTGTGCACTGTACGAGCTCTGAGGGCCCATGACCTTCATCCCACGCTGTAGCTGTTGCCTCTGCTTCTTGGAGGAAAGGAAGTGACCGGGGACAAATAAGAATGACGTGTCTGACCTTAGCCGCCTGTTTGCCCAAACTCACGTCATTGTTTAATGCCGTCAGCAAGCCACGGATAATAGACTAAATAAATCCCAAGGGCAAGTGTGGAGGAGGCTGTGGGCTGATGGAGGAGGCTGTGGGCAAGGAGCCTGGCCACCATGAGCTCAGAGGCCTGCACCTTCCTACCTGACCTTTGCTGGTGGATGCTACATGTTTAGCTAACAGTTGTTGCTGCGTAAGAAGGGCTTGCATCACCGAAGGAAGGACAGAATTACGCATGTGAGCTCTGACCCTTCCTAACAGAACCCACGGACGACCAGAGGTCTGTCTGAGCAGGCTTTAGCGTGTCCCTCAACCCAGAGATGCGTGGTAGGGGCTTTGTGCTTCCACCCCGTAAGGTTACCCTGGCTGTGGCTTGGGAGTTGTTCACCGAGGAGTGTTGTGAGAGGCAGGGAGGCATCCTGGACACATTCTTTTCCCAGCTGCCTTTTGGGAGGAGCTGTTTTCAGCTTGGGAATTCTCCCCGGGCGCCGCCCCCACCCCTTCACCCCCACCCCTCTGGCTCGCACAAGTGCTGGTCTTTGTTTGATCTATTCAGAGTGTTGATAATGGAAAGAATGGCAGGTGACCCGGGCCTCCACTCCAGCCTGCCCTTTGAGTGGTCCCTAAAATAATACCATTAGTGGGGCCCAGTCAAGGCTGCTTATCTCTGGAGTGGCCTGCTGATAATGCCGAGCAGGTCCTCGCGGAATCCTGGGGCCCAGATGGAGAAGTGGCTGTGAGCCCCTGATGAATGGGC